ACAGCAATCTTTAAGTCATACCACAGATTCTCAATTGGATTGAGGTCTGGGCTTTGACTAGGCCATTCCAAGACATTTAAATGTTTCCCCTTAAACCACTCAAGTGTTGCTTTAGCAGTATGCTTAGGGTCATTGTCCTGCTGAAAGGTGAACCTCCGTCCCAGTCTCAAATCTCTGGAAGACTGAAACAGGTTTCCCTCAAGAATTTCCCTGTATTTAATTCCATCCATCATTCCTTCAATTCTGACCAGTTTCCCAGTCCCTGCCGATGAAAAACATCCCCACAGCATGATGCTGCCACCACCATGCTTCACTGTGAGGATGGTGTTCTTGGGGTGATGAGAGGTGTTGGGTTTGCGCCAGACATAGTGTTTTCCTTGATGGCCAAAATGCTCAATTTTAGTCTCATCCGAGCATAGTACCTTCTTCCATATGTTTGGGGAGTCTCCCACGTGCATTTTGGCGAACACCAAACGTGTTTGATAATTTTTTTCTTTAAGCAATGGCTTTTTTCTGGCCACTCTTCCGTAAAGCCCAGCTCTGTGGAGTGTACGGCTTAAGGTGGTCCTATGGACAGATACTCCAATCTCCGCTGTGGAGCTTTGCAGCTCCTTCAGGGTTATCTTTGGTCTCTTTGTTGCCTCTCTGCTTGGCATGTTGACACACTGGTGGTTTGTTGTGGCCGAGTATTGGTGCTAAACCGTGTTGTTGAAGTCCGGCATGCTAGTTGGCTGTGGCGTCATATGACTAGGTGCCCTGGACGATTTTCACGGAAGTATACTGTACCAAGTTAGCTAGCTGAATAAACTAAGTTAGTCTATTCCTAGAAAACATTGAACCGCTGTTGTTTACAACAATTATAGTTTCTGAGGTGGAAGTTGGGAGAGTTATATTTGGGTGTTTCAGTGAAACATAAGTGAGGGAGGCCCTGCTCTCTCCTTTCCCAGATGTTTAGTTTGTTTCATTCCGATCTCCTTTGCATTATTGTAGCCATTTTCTGTAGCCTGTCAACTATGCCTCTGTCTATCCCTGTTCTCTTCTCTCCGCACAGGCTATACAAACACCTCACAACGCGTGGCTGCTGCCTCTCTAACCTGGTGGTCCCTGCATGCACCACCCACGTGGAGTTCCAGGTCTCAGGCAGCCTCTGGAACTGCTGTTTTGCTGCCAACAAGGCAGAGTTCATCTCAGCCTATGCTACCCTCCAGTCCCTCGACTTCTTGGCGCTGACGGAAACATGGATTAACACTGAAAACACTGCTACTCCTACTGCTCTCTCCTCGTCTGACCATGTGTTCTCGCATACCCCGAGAGCATCTGGTCAGCGGGGTGGTGGCACATTCTCTCTTTTGGACATTCTCTCTTTTTGTGGACATTCTCTCTTTTTCCCCTGACCCATCTGTCTATCTCCTCATTTGAATTCCATGCTGTCACAGTCACTAGCCCATTCAAGCTTAACATCCTTGTCATTTATCGCCCTCCAGGTTCCCTTGGAGAGTTCATCAATGAGCTTGACGCCTTGATAAGTTCCTTTCCTGAGGATGGCTCACCCCTCACAGTTCTGGGTGACATCAACCTCCCTACGTCTACCTTTGACTAATTTCTCTCTGCCTCCTTCCTTCCACTCCTCTCCTCTTTTGACCTCACCCTCTCACCGTCCCCCCCTACTCACAAGGCAGGCAATACGCTTGACCTCATCTTTACTAGATGCTGTTCTTCTACTAATCTCACTGCAACTCCCCTCCATGTCTCCGACCAGTACTTTGTATCCTTTTCTCTCTCGCTCTCCTCCAACACTACTCACTCTGCCCCTACTCAGATGGTAATGTGCCGTCGCAACCTTCGCTCTCTCTCTCCCGCTACTCTCTCCTCTTCCATCCTATCATCTCTTCCCTCTGCTCAATCCTTCTCCCTCCAATCTCCTGATTCTGCCTCCTCAACCCTCCTCTCCTCCATTTCTGCATCCTTTGACTCTCTATGTCCCCTATCCTCCCGGCCGGCACGGTCCTCCCCTCCTGCTCCATGGCTTGATGACTCATTGCGAGCTCACAGAACAGGGCTCCGGGCAGCCGAGCGGAAATGGAGGAAAACTAGACTCCCTGCGGACCTGGCATCTTTTCACTCCCTCCTCTCTACATTTTATTCATCTGTTTCTGCTGCTAAAGCCACTTTCTACCACTCTAAATTCCAAGCATCTGCCTCTAACCCTAGGAAGCTCTTTGCCACCTTCTCATCCCTGCTGAATCCTCCTCCCCCTCCCCCCTCCCCCCTCCTCCCTCTCTGTGGATGACTTCGTCAACCATTTTGAAAAGAAGGTTGACGACATCCGATCCTAGTTTGTTAAGTCAAATGACACTGCTGGTCCTGCTCACACTGCCCTACCCTATGCTTTCTCCCCTCTCTCTCCAGATAAAATCTTGCGACTTGTGATGGCCGGCCGCCCAACAACATGCCCGCATGACCCTATCCCCTCCTCTCTTCTCCAGACCATCTCCGGTGACCTTCTCCCTTACCTCACCTCGCTCATCAACTCATCCTTGACCGCTGGCTATGTTCCTTCCGTCTTCAAGAGAGCAAGAGTTGAACCCCTTCTCAAAAAACCAACACTCGATCCCTCTGATGTCAACAACTACAGACCAGTATCCCTTCTTTCTTTTCTCTCCAAAACTCTTGAGCGTGCAGTCTTTAGCCAACTCTCTTGCTATCTCTCTCAGAATGACCTTCTTGATCCAAACCAGTCAGGTTTCAAGACTGGTCATTCAACTGAGACTGCTCTTCTCTGTGTCACGGAGGCTCTCCGCACTGCTATAGCTAACTCTCTCTCCTCTGCTCTTGTCCTTCTAGACCTGTCTGCTGCCTTTGATACTGTGAACCATCAGATCCTCCTCTCCACCCTCTCCGAGCTGGGCATCTCCGGCGCGGCTCACTCTTGGATTGCGTCCTACCTGACCGGTCGCTCCTACCAAGTGGCGTGGCGAGAATCTGTCTCTGCACCACGTGCTCTCACCACTGGTGTCCCCCAGGGCTCAGTTCTAGGCCCTCTCCTATTTTCGCTATACACCAAGTCACTTGGCTCTTTCATATCCTCACATGGCCTCTCCTATCATTGCTACGCAGATGACACACAACTAATCTTCTCCTTTCCCCCTTCTGATAACCAGGTGGCGAATCGCATCTCTGCATGTCTGGCAGACATATCAGTGTGGATGACGGATCACCACCTCAAGCTGAACCTCGGCAAGACGGAGCTGCTCTTCCTCCCGGGGAAGGACTGCCCGTTCCATGATCTCGCCATCACGGTTGACAACTCTGTTTAGTCCTCCTCCCAGAGTGCGAAGAGCCTTGGCGTGACCCTGGACAACACCCTGTCGTTCTTTGCTAACATCAAGGCGGTGACCCGATCCTGTAGGTTCATGCTCTACAACATTCGGAGAGTACGATCCTGCCTTACACAGGAAGCGGCACAGGTTCTAATCCAGGCACTTGTCATCTCCCGTCTGGATTACTGCAACTCGCTGTTGGCTGGGCTCCCTGCCTGTGCCATTAAACCCCTACAACTCATCCAGAATGGTGCAGCCCGTCTGGTGTTCAACCTTCCCAAGTTCTCTCACGTCACCCCGCTCCTCCGCACACTCCACTGGCTTCCAGTTGAAGCTCGCATCTGCTACAAGACCATGGTGCTTGCCTACGGAGCTGTGAGGGGAACGGCACCTCCGTACCTTCAGGCTCTGATCAGTCCCTACACCCAAACGAGGGCATTGCGTTCATCCACCTCTGGCCTGCTGGCCCCCCTACCTCTGCGGAAGCACAGTTCCCGCTCAGCCCAGTCAAAACTGTTCGCTGCTCTGGCACCCCAATGGTGGAACAAGCTCCCTCACCACCTTCTGGAGACACTTGAAACCCCACCTCTTTAAGGAATACCTGGGATAGGATAAAGTAATCCTTCCACCCCACCCCCCAAAAAAAATACATATTGTAAAGTGGTTTTCCCACTGGCTATAAGGTGAATGCACCAATTTGTAAGTCGCTCTGGATAAGAGCGTCTGCTAAATGAGGTAAATATAAATGTAAATTAATGCCATCCTTGCCTGGTCTGTGAGTTTTGGTGGGCGGCCCTCTCTTGGCAGGTTTGTTGTGGTGCCATATTCTTTCCATTTTTTTTATAATGGATTCATTGGTGCTCCGTGTGATGTTAAAAAGTTTCAGATATTTTTTTATAACGCAACCCTGATATGTACTTATATTTATATTATATTTATATTTTAGTCATTTAGCAGACGCTCTTATCGAGAGCGACTTACAGTTAGTGAGTGCATACATTTTTCATACATACTCTGATCACCAAAGCTTTTCAATTGTCTATCCCACTGCAAAGTTGTTCAATCAGTATTCTAACACTCACAACAAAGAACACTTTAACACCCTATCTATGGCTTTGTCTTTGGAGTCTTGTGGCCTGCTGGTCTTTGTTGCCTCAACCAAGAAGTCACCAAGTCAATGGACAATGACCTTACCTGGCTTCTCTAGTGTAAGCCAGTTCTTGAGGGAGAGGTAACAATGAAAACCAGCAGACACTATAGATCTCAATGACCAGCTGTGATTGTGAATATGACGGATCTATGATGTAAGTAATGTCTACCATGATTTTCCCACACACGAGTGGAATGAACACGTTCCCAAACCAAACACAGGTTACAACGGTTTCAAGGCCATATGTAGCTACACACCCACATTAAAACATTTTTCTTCAGACCACACACTCTTGGTAACCAGTTATAACCACAATAATAATCTCATTTCTTCAGTTATCCACCTGATCCAAACCCCCTTGAACACATACATATTTATATCGCTATGTATAAAAAAAGAAATGAAGTAAAAACACAGTGCTCAGAAGACAGTGTGCAGAAGTCTCTGCAGGATGTTGAGTAAGAGAGACAGCGAAAGGGATATTCATTATTGCAACACCCAGGAAGTGACATCATCCTCCTCTAATCTCCTTAAAATGGCCAATCCTGGATGTTGGAATGATCACATATGCTGACCAGATGTAGCTTTGTATTCTCTTCTCCCTCTTCTTTGTCTCTCTCTCCTTCCAAGCCTCCACTCTCCCTCGTTGGTTGAAGCGCTAAGGCTGTCGTCACATCGGTCACTGGAACGGGAGGCATCAACCTTGGCATCCCACCTGACATCCCTGCGTTGGGGCCCAACAGGATCTGTCTCTGCTGCTCTAGCTGCTGCTGCTCCAGCTGTAGTCTCTCAGTCTCAAACACCACCGGAAGGACCAGGATCATGAACGAGGTAGTGCCCACCCACAGGGCAACGCGGGAGTAACTGTACAGCTTCTTGGCCACAGTGACTGAGCCCGATGCGGTCACCTCAGCTGCAGAGCGCAGTGTAGCAAGGAACATCTCAGTCAAACCCCACACCCTCTCCATAAGGTTCTCATCCAGCTCTTCATCTTCATCTTCATCGATCTCGCCTTCTGGGGGCCGGGTTTCGACTGGGCCCCCAGCCAGTGATAGCTCTACGATTCCAGCCATGGAAAACAGTTCTCGCGCCGCTTACCAGCTAATTAGCTAATTTAAAATGTACATCAATCGGTGGAAGGGCAAATCAGTATTTTAATATTTTATCGTGGAATTATTACAATACTGAGGTGGTATACTCCTCAATGCCATTGGATGAATCCCGGAACAGATTCCAGTCTCTGCAAGCAAAACAGTCCTGTAGCCTAGCATCCGCGTCATCTGACCACTTACGTATTGAGCAAGTCACTGGTACTACCTGCTTTAGTTTTGCTTGTAAACAGGAATCAGGAGGATAGAATTATAGTCAAAGTAGATTAAGGATAGGTTTCTATGAATCTTCAGATACTAACATGAGAACCTTTGTCAGACAGCACTATCCTGCCCCAGGGTTGGGGAGTAACTGATTACTTGTAATCAGATTATATAACAAAAACTGTAATTACCTGCATTACCTGCAAAAAATATTGTAATCAGATTATGGATACTTTTGAAAAACTAGATGATTACTTGGATTACTCTTAAATTTAGAAAGGATGTTTGAGGGAAAAATATATACACTACCGCTCAAACATTTGGGGTCACTTAGAAATGTCCTTGTTTTCAAAAGAAAAGCAATTTTCTTTGTCCATTAAAATAACATCAAATTGATCAGAAATACAATGTAGACATTGTTAATGTTGTAAATGGAATTTATGGAATATCTACATAGGCTTACAGAGGCCCATTATCAGCAACCATCAGTCCTGTGTTCCAATGGCACGTTGTGTTTGCTAATACAAGTTTATCATTTTAAAAGACTAATTTATCATTAGAAAACCCTTTTGCAATTATGTTAGCACAGCTGAAAACTGTTGTGCTGATTAAAGAAGCAATAAAACTGGCCTTCTTGAGACTAGTTGAGTATCTGGAGCATCAGCAATTGTGGGTTCGATCACAGGCTCAAAAACAAATAACTTTCTTCTGAAACTCGTCAGTCTATTCTTGTTCTGAGAAATGAAGGCTATTCCATGCGAGAAATTGCCAAGAAACTGAAGATCTCGTACAACGCTGTGTACCTACTCCCTTCACAGAACAGCGCAAACTGGCTCTAACCAGAATAGAAAGAGGATTGGGAGGCCGCGGTGCACAACTGAGCAAGAGGACAAATACATTAGAGTGTCTAGTTCGAGAAACAGATGCCTCACAGGTCCTCAACTGGCGGCTTCATTAAATAGTACCCGCAAAACACCAGTCTCAACGTCAACAGTGAAGGGCGACTCCGGAATACTGACCTTCTAGGCAGAGTTGCAAAGAAAAAGCCATATCTCAGACTGCCAAATAAAAAAAAAAGATTAAGATGGGCAAAAGAACACAGACACTGGACAGAGGAAGATTGGAAAAAAGTGTTATGGACTAATCGAAGTTTGAGGTGTTCGGATCACAAAGAAGAACATTTGTGAGACGCAGACCAAATGAAAAGATGCTGGAGGAGTGCTTGATGCCATCTGTCAAGCATAGTGGAGGCAATGTGATGGTCTGTGGGTGCTTTGCTGGTGGTAAATTGGGAGATTTGTACAGGGTAAAAGGGATCTTGAAGATGGAAGGCTATCACTCCATTTTGCAACGCCATGCCATACCCTGTGGACGGCGCTTGATTGGAGCCAATTTCCTCCTACAACAGGACAATGACCCAAAGCACAGCTCCAAACTATGCAAGAACTATTTAGGGAAGAAGCAGTCCGCTGGTATTCTGTCTATAATGGAGTGGCCAGCACAGTCACCGGATCTCTGTAGCTCAGCTGGTAGAGCACGGCGCTTGTAACGCCAAGGTAGTGGGTTCGATCCCCGGGACCACCCATACACAAAAATGTATGCACGCATGACTGTAAGTTGCTTTGGATAAAAGCGTCTGCTAAATATTATTATTATTATCTCAACCCTTTTGAGCTGTTGTGGGAGCAGCTTGACCGTATGGTACGTAAGAAGTGCCCATCAAGCCAATCCAACTTGTGGGAGGTGCTTCAGGAAGCATGGGGTGAAATCTCTTCAGATTTCCTCAACAAATTGACAACTAGAATGCCAAAGGTCTGCACGGCTGTAATTGCTGCAAATGGAGGATTATTTGACGAAAGCAAAGTTTGAAGGACACAATTATTATTTCAATTCAAAATAATTATTTCTAACCTTGTCAATGACTACATTTCCCATGCATTTTGCTATATTTCATATTCAAACTCATTTCATGTATGTTTTCATGGAAAACAAGGTCATTTCTAAGTGCCCCCAAACTTTTGAACGGTAGTGTACATTATGACACCTTTCTGTTTTCTCAATGACATTTAATTCAGCATAAAAAAGGCACAAATTTACATTTGTTGTTTGAGTATGCCCACCATTTAGAGACCACTATGATGACACAACAAATACGTTTGATGGATCCTTTTTGTCTTCTTCTAATGCCTCTTAAGGGGAAAGTATTCCAAAAGTAAGTGAAAATAATCTGATTACGTTAGTGAGTTTGGGTAATCCAAAAGTTACGTTACTGATGAGAATTTGGGATAGGTAACTAGTAACTGTAATCAATTACATTTAGAAAGTAACCTACCCCAACCCTTTTCTGCCCAGACATTGGGTAAGAAACAATCATATACGGACTGGTGAAAGAGACTTACTGTATGGTTTGATCTGAGGTGTTGCCTCACAGGGGATGTACGGTGCAGAGTGTGTCAGGAGGACTCGAATGAGACGAGAGAACAACTACAACAAAGATACCAGTGTCAGGATGGCATGTTGTCTAGAAATGAACGTTTCTACAAAATGAATTTACAGCCAGCTTTCATGTTCCATTTGACAAACTCATGTTAGGTTTACATGGCATGCTGCTCGCCCTCGATAGCTGGCTGGGTGTGAAATACGATGCAATCCCCTCCGCTGTCTGTGTAAGATATGCAGCCGCGGCGTGAAGACTTACACCTGGGCCTACTCCTATAACTCTCAGACCCCCCGCCCCCCTCTCTCTCTCAATTTCCCCCTCTCTCTCTCTTCCTCTCTCTCTCTACTCTACACCCACATCTCTGCACTGATGAGCTCGCAGTAAGACCAGGGTTTTCTTATCACAATACATGAAGAGCAAGTCTCTCCAACCTCAGTGGAGCTGATGATATTCATCCTTCACATCCAAGTCTGTGCCTGAGTCCCAAATGGCACCCTATTCCCTTTATAGTGGGCCTTATGGGCTATGGATAAAAGTAGTGCACTATATAGAGAATAGGGTACCATTTGGGACAGACACTGTCTCTACAGATCTGTCACAAAATATGATACTGAGGGTGCTGAGAAAATATATTTATTTCATGGATGAATGGGTGTTATGGTCATAATTTTTCAGTGCATCATACAATACCTTTAAACCTTTTCACATTTAAACTGTGATGAACTGTGATATAGATCACCAGCTAAAAGGGTCAATGACTATACTTTCTCTTTCCAGCTGGGATGTATCCAGACAAAGCCTTAGGAAGAGCACTGGTGCCCTCTACCATCGCCTGATTATCCTATTGTTATTTTGAGAATATAATACCTAATGTAGATATTTCTTCATGTAATGCTTACTGGATGTGTAATCGCCACACTGTGTGCCACTGGATATTGAGAAATAATTAATTAACAATAAGTGGTACATTCATGACTGCATATCAACAGCATGATCAAACAGATGTGCTCCCCCAGTACACACTTACTGTTTTGAACAGTGGATGGCAGCATTGAGGTATATTGCTACAAGTCATAACTCACTGAACTATCTCTTTACATTGCTAATTACCTGCTATAGATCAACATTTCCTGTTTAAAAGTGCAAAGCTGTTATGAGGCTGTATTGAGAGTAGTTTCACACCTTTGCTGTCCTTTTATCCATTGCAGGAGCATGCAGAATATCAAGCCACAACATCATCTGTGACCTTAACGTGGGTGTGAAAGGCACTCGCTCTACCCTGAGGTTATGCCTTCTCACTTTTCTCTCTTCTGAAAGAGAGCATATACAGTTAATGACAACCGTTCGTGTGGCAAATTATTTGAGTTTGATGATGTGGAGGAAAGTGAAAAAAAGGAGTTAGAGGACAAGGCTCTAAATACGAGGAAGAGAGATGGCCTTGTGGTTTGGGGCCCGGCTGTTTTTCTAATTAGTGGTTTTGTGACACAATTCTCTATGTTTTTGTTTTTATATGGTTTTCAGGGACAGTAGTTCCTATACAAGTGATAATTCAACGTGGTTTAAACTTTTACTGTGAGTGAAGTCATATCCTCCCAGACTGTACAGAATATACTCTTCGAAAAAAAGGTGCTATCTAGAACCAATAACGGTTCTCGTCTGTCCCCATAGGATAACCATTTCAAGAACCCTTCTTGGTTCCAGCTAGAACCCCTTTAGGGTTCCATGTAAAACACTTTGCACACAGGGTTCTACATGGAACCCAAAAGAGTTATACCTTGAACCAAAAAGGGTTCTATCTGAAACCAAAAAAGGGTTATCCTATGGGGACAGCCGAAGACCCTTTTGGAACCCTTTTTTCTAAGAGTGTAGATGCTGTGTGCAGTAGGTAACTATCCTTTCAACCATTGAGAGTTATTCAAGCATAGTTCACCAAACCACCTCTGTTACACAAACATACCATTGTCTTGGAGAACCCACACTAAGATGTCTTCAAAGTGTGAAAAAGGGAAAATGTAATTTCAAAATTCTTATGAGATGTGAGTGTGTGTGTGTGTGTGAGAGAGGGAGAGAGAGAGAGAGAGAGAGAGAGAGAGAGAGAGAGAGAGAGAGAGAGAGAGAGAGAGAGAGAGAGAGAGAGAGAGAGAGAGAGAGAGAGAGAGAGAGAGAGAGAGACAGAGAGAGAGAGAGCAATAGAGAAAGGTGTGGTTGGGGGCTTGCAACGGTTTTCCCTCCACTTCAAACGCCAACTTGCAGTGGAAACTTCCCTTACGCTCACTCTCAGGGTGGGTGTCTACTGTCAGACTCCTTTAAATCCAGGAGC